CTTCACATGTGAACCAAATGGTGTTATAACATTTTCCTTCGGATAAACTAGTCACTAAATCCCATTAGAAAGAATACAAGAGCAGTTATCGGAGACATCCCCAAATACCACGCACTCGGTTAGAACATCGTGTCACAAAATGCTCATCTACGCGGCTTTCTTTACATTGCATACATCACTTTACATCTCTACAGTGCAATGTTGAAACAGCCTCCAAGTTTTGTAAAGCAGATCGAAGTGCATTCTACAAAAATATGAACTTACAGTACATAACACTGAGTAATTTTAATCTGTACATTTCTCCCCCTCCCATCAAAGGTGATACACGTAAGTTTGTACAAGTTAGGGGAAAAAGAAAAATCTGGTTGCTTACATCTGGATTAATAGTCAACAGAATCAACCAGAAGTTGGTGGGGTGGATAGTTTGAGAAAGTATAAATACAGTGTAATGTTAATTGTGGTTAACAATATTCAGCTTTTAACAAAGTGATACAAAATAAATCTTCTGACTGAAAAGATCTAGCTGAGAATGTTCTGCCAAACAGCCGACCAACTGATCCAAAGGTTAAGGCTGACATGACTTAGCAACCTGCAACATTGGCGCAGTTCAGAGCTCTTCAAATGCATAGCTTCAGTGTTACATGCACATTAATTATATTCCTTCAATTAGTTAATCCTCTAGACAGTTTTCTCTTTGTTTTGCATGCATCCCGTTCCATTTTCATTAAGGGCATCTCTTCCTTGATCAACCATGTGCTTTGCTTTTCAATTTGTTTTTTGTAATTTAAATTTTTAAAAAATTTTTGTCAGTTTTGTCTTTAAGCTGCCAATACCTCCAACACTTGGAAAATGAACTATAGATGCCGTCTTACAGAAGAGAATCATAGCTCTATGGACAATACAAAATGAAATGAAACAAGTGTCAGAAACAGTTTATAAAAATGGCACATTTATTGCTACAGAACGGTCATGTACATGACTTCATCGAGTAACTACAGATGGGAAACAGGTAGTGGCCTAGACCAAGCTGGGTTTGTTTTTGTCTTGAAGGAACTCCAGCACACAACCTGTTTGGACACTTCTACAAATCAGAAATACACCAAAAACATGAAAAAATCGAGGCACTCAGCCACACATTGAAAACAAGGTGTAACTGTTTATCTTTTTTTTGAAATGTTTTCCCTTTTTTTCTTTTTTTAACAATTTTTTTTTTTTTTAGTTTTTAATGCTGCAGCTATGTGTACAGTCGCAAAAAATTTCCCCGCTGCGACCTACAACTAAAAAACAAAAACAAAAACAAAAACAAAACAAACAAAAAGCTACCATACAGTTTCATCTTGGTAACACATGGTAAAATAACATCTTTTAAATAGTAAAATAAAGTAACAAACTTTTACTCATAATGATTCCAAAAATCTACAAAGAAGAAATATTCAGAATCTGACAATTTTTTTTGTAATATTCATGGTATAAAAGGATTGCTCCTGCGAAAAATAAGCCAAATATATTTTTTATTTTTAAATTTAGGGTTTTTTTTTTCCTACTAGGGTGTACTACAGTCTATTTTATAGCAAAAAGAGCACTAGACAAACAAAGCTTTATAACAAAAAGCCAGGCACTGATACATGGTAAATCTCTGCTTTTTTTTTTTCTTATCTTCACTTAATTGCATCACAAGTAACAAGAATGAAAAAGGCCACAGTTCATATATTTTCACCATTACATATGTCTATAATACTTGAAATGGGTATGGCAAAACCAGCACTGCACAAAGAGGAGTCCACTTCGAGTCCCATGAGAAAGAGCGTGTCTCTAAAGAAAAACAAACAAAACCAAAGCAAAATAAAAAGAGAGGCCTAACGGCCTTGGTGCCCCATTGTGTTGGAATTCATCATATTCCATCTTGACTTTTTTGCTTCCAGTCAGCCAGCAGACTAAATTTTTGTGCTCGTTTATGCTGAAATGGTTTCACTCCTGACTCAAGTTCACTTTTGGACACAGATCATATTCTGCCTGTTGGATGCAAAGACGAAAATCCTCTTAACCCCCAGTCTCAGTTTAACTCCCTCCCCACTCCCCAACCCCTCAACAAAATAAAGATTATGAATAAAAAAAATTCAAGAAATAGGAAAAAGTGAGAAACAAAAAAAAAAAGGAATCGGAAGACTGAATCAGAACCAGTTGCACCACTGGGTGGACTGACAGTTGTATAAACATTAGTGTTCCTTGCAGCTACACAGAAGACAAATGGTAAAAATTTCTAGATGAACAGATCCCTATTCTGCATATTCATAAATTACTTGAATGTGGAGGTGGATCAACTGTTCCATGTTGCTTTCAAAGTCCAAGTTTCTTAAACCGATCCCCAGCCTAAGTAGCATCATATATACGATATGTATACATATCATATTTAAGATCCACTATATATATATAGTGTTGCATGGACCCTTATGAAATTTCTGTATAGCACTTTAGTTCTGTCTTTGCTAATTTAATTCAAAAATCCAGTGCAGGATACCAATATCTTACCTGGGTTTTGAAAATTACAAAACAACAACAAGAAAAAAAGACTTAACTGAAAAGGCCACATTCCCTTTCTTCTTTTTCTTCTTCTTCTTTTTTTTTTTTTTTTCTTTTTACTGGGGATACAACTCAGTTAATACAGATAGGGGCAGATCGTGTTTCTCCACCAAGTAAAAGAGCAGCAAGCAGATTCTGGTGGCCGTTAGAAAGTTTTTCCGCTTAAGTCCAAGGGGAATTCAACAATAGAGGTATTACATTACTGAGTAATGAATACATCAAAGCTGGTCAACTAGAAATTGCAGCTTTTACTCTGAGTGAGAACAAAATATAAAGCACCAATTTAAAAAATAACCAAATGACTACAATTTAATTTTTTGCTTTGTTTACAGGTTTGAAAACTTTAATTCAGCTCTATTAAGCACCTTTATGATAACATGTTATCAAAAGTGCCATTCTTAAAATGTACATCAACGCAGGGAGTGTTTCCAGTTCCCTAAAGAGTAAACACCATACTTTCTTCTGTACACTTATCCTGAATGTGATCAGAGTATACCTGCTTCCTATATAATATTGTTCCTAGGGATACCCGCCTTGGTAGACTATACAAAATGAGTGCAGAATGTACCACTAAAAGGAAATCTTCAACATACTGAGGGAACAAGTACACATGGTTTCCATTATCAGGGAGGAGGGGAGAGTATACATTATTGTCTTCCATGCCCTTCTTTGAGACCCTTTGTTCGTACATTTCACAGGAAAGCTCCCATATAACTTTTCATGAAGTTTGATTTCTGCTCTTCTCCTAAGGTTTTAATCCACCTCCACATTTTAGGAACTTATTAACAAATCAAAGGTTTTTTAGTTTTATCGCTACTAACATATTTACAGTTTTCAACACACACACACGCACACACAGCTAATCAAAATGTTCATGGGTTTGTAAAAGATGACCACGTGGTAACTATCTTATTTGTTCTTACATTTTCAGAAAGGAACATAAAATTCAGGTTCTTGTAGCTCACTATTTCATTTAAATGAGACTTCTTTTAAACCACACAGTTTAGAAAAACAAAAAACCGATACAATGTATTAAAACACATAATAACAAGAGTCTACATGTAAAAATATAACTTTTACATACACAATCTCAAAATAATGATACGTTTGCCATTTGTTGCATAAAATTTACAAATGTATTTCATTACTATATAACTGGCAAAACAGGAGAACAGATGGAACATTTAGACCATTTTGATGGATTTATGGCATTTACTCAGTGCTGATAGGTGGAAAAACTACTTGAACAGGGATTGCTTTTTTCTTAATACATGCCAAGATTGTGTGGCTGTAAAAATAGAAACGAGTTAAGAGACGAAAGGGTGCTGACAAATACTTAACTAGGAGCACTATTTGTTTACTGCACTATACACCAAAGTCAATCAGTATAAAGTTATGATGGGAATTGGTTCCGTTGTGCCCACACGTCAAAGCTAGCTATCTGATGAGTTGCTGTGCCATAGCTTGACCTATGTTTCTATCAAATATGGTAAGTATAAACTTCATTCGTACTGGCCAGAGAAATACTGCACTATCCCTCCTCAAAAAAGTGCAACTTAATGCTTTAGGACTTATAAGGCTTGTTATAATGCTGCATGATGACTGAATATTGGCATTTTTCAGACGAAGGAGGAGGCAGGTTAAGTCATCTACTTTTTAGTAAACCCATTGTGAAAAAAAAAATCAAGAAAGCAACAAAATCAATCAGCTCTGTCACACTACTTACTACTTGCAATTTTCTCATTTGACAGTTTTTGAACTTTACTTGTTTTTTTTGTTTTTGCTTTTTTCCAAAAATCTGACCATGTATTCAGAAACGCCTCACTGCACACTACTTCGGCTACACAGGTAGGTAACACTTTAATCGTTTTGTTAAATCACAGCCACTTTGATTATGTTATGTTTCCGATGATATAAACATTGGAAGGCACAGTGGTAACATTGTAGCATTCTAACCTTGTACCTCTGAAAATCCCAGAAGAGGGTCACAAATGCAACATTACAAGTCAGACAAACTCTTGTTGCCATGTCTTGGTAATGGTGCTTGTAATATCTACACATGATGTGACTTTTAAGTCCTGTGTTCCCAAAAGACTGGAGAAACAACTTTCTACTTATTTATGAATGAGAAGCAACTTCAGGGTCAGCATTTCTTCCTGCACTGCCCCTCCAGAAGCAGAGTTGGCACTACAGGTTATGATAACAAACCAGGGAGGGGGACAGAAATAAGACCAAAAAAAAAAAAAAATCCCCAAAAAAACCAACAGCAACAACAACAACAACAAAAAAGTAAAACAAAAAAGAGAGAGAAAAGGAAAAAAAGGAAAAATTCATATTTACAGTAAAATCTTTCTTTTAAAAAAGTTAATCAGTACTATTTTTTTACAGGAGAAAAAAGTCTGAAACAAATGAACAAAAGCTTACCATAGTCACTAAATTTTTAATATATATTTATATATATATTTATATATATATTTGTCATAGGTCTATAAGATCCATCTGTTCCTCCTACCCTAAGGAATGGCTAATGTCATCACTTCGTTGTCGTCAGGACGTTTGCTGGTTTTGTTACTAGGGCAGCCGCGCTTCCCCTATTCAGTATCCAGTAATTATAAACACTAGCTGACTTGAATACCAACAAAAACGTTCATGTAGTTGTCTTCAGAAGTACACTTTTTCATTATTGCAAGTTTACAATTTTTTAAATTAAATATTTTTTTCAGACTTACAAATTAATTATATTTTTTTTTTTTTCCAAAAGAAGTTTAGGCACAAATGCATTGTTCCACAGTGTGGAAAGATTGCCATTCAGTCTCTGGGCTTCGTCTCAGCCTGTACATACTGCTTTGCACATTCTGAATGATATGTTAAAGAAAGTCGTCCCTCAAGTTGCACTTTTTTTCTTTCTTTTTTTGTTTGTTTTTCTGTTTTTTGATAATTGGGAATGCTGAAACCTCTTGCGTCTGCGATTCATAACTACTCAGACTTGTCTTATATTACAAAAAAGGGGGTTAAGGAGAAGTGTTTATGTGGGTTTAAGATAATACAGCTGTTAAGGAAGTGGTCTCTTGTTTTAATGAAGCAATGTGGCAACTTGGACCTGGGAAAAGAAAAGGAGAGAGGAATTAATTAGTATCTTCTTGAAAGAGGAGGTGCTTCATAACAAGACTCTTTTTTCCAAGAAAGAAAGGTATCTGTTCGTGTGGATCTAAGCTGGCTTTTCTGGCTGGGGTGCAGGTGAGAGGGTGGGTGATGATCTCAGAAATGGTGGGAAATGAACTTGCCCTTTCACATCTGTCCCATGTGATTTGATGTGTCTCCCATTCCAGGGTGCGGGCCAGCCAAGGAGAGCGGGGGAGGCTCCGAGGACACCTTCTCTTCCTCCCTTCTTTTTAGACAGGCTGCTTTCGGATTCAGATTTCTTTCTGTGGAGGATGAGAGCACGCGTGCTTTGTTAATGCCGAGGCTTCCGGTGGAGGGTGGCAGTCCCCTCCGCCTCTATTTCTCCCACCCTCTGGCTCAGCTTTATGCTACAGTTAGGAAACATGTACGGTGGTGATTCACTTGGTTGGTCACTAGGAAAAGCTGAACTGCCAGAGAATTTGTACCAGCGTTTTACAGTTTCAAAAAAAGTTAGTAAAGCAAGTGAACTAAGCTCTGATTACTGACAGTACGACCTGAGATTACAATGTAATGCTAGTTGTAAGAGAATCCTAGAACTTAATTATCAGACAAGGGATTGCTGCTGCTTTATAGATTTAGACACGGTTGCATCGGAAGCATTATTCTGAGGGTGCTAAGGCTTGGCTGTCTGCTCCTGCTCACAGCCGAGTGTTGCTCTCAGCTCACTGACCTCGGACTTGCTGCTCCAAGCTGAGGATGACGGCCACGGCCTGGTGGAGGATCAGGAGCTTGGTCTGGGGCTTGTCACTCTTGAGGTGGAGCTGTACCATGCGCCCGAGCTCCTTGAAAGCCTCATTGATGTCTCGGACCCGCAGGCGTTCGCGGGCATTGTTGGCCATCCTCCGCTCCTTCTCCCTCTCTGCCTTCTGCTCCGGTGTCAGGTCTTCATCATCGTTATTGCTGTGGGACAAAAGGGAGGCGACATTTTCTAATGGTGTGGGGAAGAGGAAGATACCTAAATTATTTTTTCCCCCGGAGTTGTCATGGAGCTTTCCCATTTTAATCTGTGTCATTGGCAGAATTTCATATCCACTTGACCTTGGGAAGGGCTTGGATGGCTGTGAAAGGCAATATACAATGCATTTAGTCTTTCAAATGACACATTAAACCCACACTGAATAAAAGGGGATGATCTGAGCCAAAGGGAGGGCCCAAAGTGTGCCCACGGTCGTGTGCAAAAGGGCAACTGGAGTTTTATAGTTATATTCTACAAAGCAGCCTCCACCAACTTATGCCTAGCGCACACAGCATGATCACACTTGAGAAAGACAGTTTATACGTAATTTTTTAAACTTTAACAACTGAAACCTAGGGAAACTCAGTGACTGAAAAGAGTAATAGGTAAAGCAAATACAAGGCAGTTTAACAAGAGTAAGAAGAAAGTCCTGTATTGCACACACCGATGCAATGGGAGTGGAGAGAGTGGAGCTTTGGCCTAGGTGCCCCATCCCCAGCTCTGAAGGTCTTGGAAATTCACTCACCCTACCTGAGGCTCGTTTTCTTCATGTATAAAATAAAAAGTTGGCAAGACATCACTTGTACGCTTTAGTATGGATCTTTACGAGCCCAAAGTAAGTTGGAGAAACATACATTGACATTCACCATGTAAAACAATGCAAGTCCAATATTTACTCCCTATAAATTGCCATGACCTCACCATGAGTCACAAGGGAAGCCAAACAGGAATCTCTGTAAGAACCAAAAGATTCTATGACTCGTAATACAGGGATGATCAGGCCCAGTATGGACTGGAAAGATAAGGTTACTTCTGACCATTTCTGAATGTTATTGTAACCAATTAGAGACTTCTAAATGGCAGATAAACAGGAGGGTGAATCATCTGGAAGGGATACCATCCTGACAGGGTTTCATGGCAGAAGGGCTTACAGTACTTTCAGGGCTATCACAAAGAAAGGAGGAGTATGGAGATATCTGGGCTCAAGGTGATAGAAGCAAAGAACACCAGACGACCAGTGGAAACTCTCATGAGCAATAATTCTTCGGGGTATAAGAGACACAAAAATGAAGTACATGTCACTGAAAGGCAACCATCCCTAGTGTAAGAAATAACATCAAGGTGACCCTTAGCCTAGAGACTCACACACTGAGCTAGAGGACTATGCCACTACCTTAACGTTCTCTGAGCTGGAAATGTTCACAGAATAAAGACGATTAATCACAACATTTCAGGGTTAGAAGACACATGGAAAGTTAGCTAGTCAGTTCAACCCACACTCCGTGAATGCTGGCTGAAGAGGTACAGCTCCAATCTGCTATTCTGGATAATCCTTGGGTAACCTCCAAATCACAAAAAGGACCAACTGGAGGAGCTCTAATCAATCAAAAATGAGAGCAGTGTTTCTGGGTTGCAAGTACATGTGGCACATGATGATGTATGAGGGCCAAGAACACTTAAGGGAAAAGGGAAAGTTAGAGGGAAGAGGAACGCATTAAGGAAAGATGCTGACAGGCTGGACTCCTCGTCCATAGGTTCAACTCCTTTCCAGATGGCACTGTCTGTCACAGTGTGTGCTGGAGAACACACAGCTCAGTCGCTCTAACTGGAAGAGGCTCTCTTTCTCTGCTCTCTGGTCTTCCTCACTTCTCTGCTGATCCTTCCTCGCCCCTCACCCATGACTTCAGCTGATGCCTAGGAAATTCAGCTTACTATAATTCCGCTCCTGCATCCGTTACACCAGCGTCACTAGGCTACAATAAGGAAAAGGAAACAGATCTGAGTCTCTGCTGGACTCATCCTAAAGCTAAAATTCTGGGAGTAGTTTTACACATCAAACATGTGCTACACCCTCCACACAGGGGAGAGTTGAAAATGGGAACTTGTTTTCCAAAGGGTTTTCAGGCTAAGGCCTGACTGAAGTTGGTTATTTACTAATAAATAAATTAGTTATGCAAATAAACTCTATAGATTTAAAAAGCATTGCTTTACAACACTGTTTTAGAAGCACACATAAATGTCCCACAGATGACCTTTTAAAAAAAAGTTTTCAGTGGCAAGTTAAAATGTTGTTCTGAAACCTCAAAACATCTATTAATATGTGTAAGTCATGGCCATGTAGTTAAGTGACCAAGAACTGACTTAGACTAACAGTGAAGCTGTTAAGGATGTGAAATCCCAGCCCAAGACTCCTTGCTAATGTGGCCAAGAGTCAAGAAAGTATGGGAATGGGAATAAGCCCGATGCATTTAGCATTGCTGGAATTACAGCAGTAGGTAGAATTTGTCTCAGTAATTATAAAAGCAACATGAAAAGACATGTGTTCTTAACTCATAAAAGATACCAGCTATCATCTTGAGAGCCACAACTTTAAAAGGGAAGCTGTGTGTATTTTTAGTACAGCTGGTTTAATTTGCAAATAGAAATAACTCAGAAGTATACATGTATCATGTACATGGGGCATTCAAAAACTATCTGATTACCACAGTAAAAGAGGCCATTCTAATTTAACGATAGCAGATACTCAAGAAGACCAAACACAACTATTTTCCTGTGGTTGTGTTTTCTATAGAAAGAACTATCAGAAAGGGGAAAAAAAATTAGCAATTTACGGATTATTTTTGTATATACATCAACATTTTCAGATACAATTGACAAATTAATATTTTCTCTTTTGAAGTAAGAGCAAAATAACAGGTGTACGTATACATCAATTGACTTTTTAACACGGCTAAAATCTCTTTGAAAATATTTTAGGAAGAACATTTCTGACCAAATTTGTAGAATGTAGTTTTTTAAATAAGCCATTTTCACTTCAATCAGTTACAAATTGTTTTTACTGTGTGCAATTGGCATTGAGTCCAAATTCACAAATGCAAGGACATTTTAGGCTTCACTAGAGTACAGGTATCTTAAGGGATACCTTGGTACTTCTAGAATAGGCCTTTAATTTTCTGTTCATCTGTAGAATTACCTGCCAGGAAAAAACTGAGTAGTTTCTTCCTGTTCTGTTCACTTCATCAAAGTCCAATAAAGGAATTAAATGAAGCGACAGTATTATATACTGTTACCTAGATCTTGACCTAGTAATTGATTTGATATCCTTCTTGTCGTCATCTAATTTCTTGTCCTCGGAAGATTTCGTGTCTTGCAGGTTCTCGTCGCCCTCATCATCAGATTTGATCTCAGAGCTGCCGGAGGAGACACTCTGCCCCTGTAGTCCTGGTGGCATGCCTGGGGGCGGGGTAAGAAACCAGGTTACATGTACACCCAACTCCATGCACAAACACGTGCACCGCAGATTGCAAGGCTGCCAGCTAGACAATCCATTCTGCTGAACTGTGTGATCCTGCTGTCACTTTTTTTCCTGCTATCTGGTGAAGTTTCAAAAATGCACCTGCGGAAACAAGTTTTCCCTGCATTGGCTCTGAGGTTAAATTCTATTTTGCAATCTTTTGGAGTAGATGGTAATTTCACTGTCTACAAAACATCAACTTAATTGCAATGAAAATCATAATCATGAAAATCACACACCTCAATGTTCTGATTAAGAACCCAAGTAAATATCAGCTATTATATTGAGTTTCTTCCATATGCAATGATTTAATAGAAAAATATCCTTAAAATATAATTCCCAGGGAGTACGCTAAATACGTGCAGTCAAGACTTCAATAGATACCCTAATGATATTCTGAAATTAGGCTTCTCTTATCCTCAAGGAGTAATCAGCATTTAAAAATGTACATATGGAAGGCAGTTCACTGCTTACTGAAGAAATTTCTAGCTTTATCACTGCTCAACTTTTCAAGATCACGTTACATTTTAAAACACAATCTTAATGTAATTTATGTCTCATATAGATACATTTCCATGGTAGATTTCCTCCTATTTGTAATCTGTGCATCCTAGAACTGTCACTCATTTTGGGTCCATGGCCCCAAAGCATTCTTATCACCTGGAAGCCATCAGAAATGCTTAATCCCACATCTAATGAATCAGAATCTGCATTTTTAACAAGATCCTCAGGTCATGCTTAGCACATTTGCAGTTTAAGAAGCACAGAACTAAAACAAAGAGGGCAAAACAGAAGTCTCTTTCAAAGAGAAGGCCTCCAGATTATTGCTAGCCAAATGAAAGTGAACCACTGTACCAATACATGTGGGTAACTAACACTCAGATGTGTACCATGGTGAGAGGTTGAAAGATGCCTATGCGGATTCCTTCGGTAGGGTGGTTCTGTTTGTTTTAAATATTAAAGGAATGCGAAGCTGTTATGTAAGTGACCATGAGAACAGCTGGCCAGCTGGGATGAATGGATCTAAATCTGGCCTGTGTAGTTCAGCTTCCCAGAGACAAGAAAGGCTCCTGTAGTGGGGAGCCGGGGGGCCTTGGTTATAGGGCTAGATGACTTAAGTGCAAAAGCCATCTGACCAAGTTCCATTTTTTAAATGCACCTACATTTCCTTCCACCTTAAACAACAAAAATAATTTCCTTCCTTCCTATTCATTTGGAAATATCATTTTCAGGCCACAAATAATCACATTAGAGGACTAGGATGAGTAAAATGTGGAAATAGCTAAAATAAAATTTCCTCTCATCAGTCTATTGCCTCATTCCCTACTGAAAATAGGATTGGGATTTTGGAGGATATTTGAGGAAAACAGTTACTGAAGAAACGCAATTAGTAGGCTAAGTTCGAGCTACTTTCTCATTTACTGGCCATTCTGGCACCAAATTTGATTGTTGGTTTTCTGCCGGTGGTTGCTGAGGGCTGATGGCCAAGGCTGCTCGGCATGCTCTCTGGGTGGACCGCTAACTGAGGTCAGAAGAGCCGTTCTGAGGTGCGCTTACCTCTGTAAGGGTCCTGGGGTGGGTTCAAGTCAGGGGAAGTTGCAGACTGGACAGGAAGCTGTGGAACTGGAACCTGGTTTGGCAGGAGAGAATGGCTGCCTCTGAGGGCCACGCCATCTTCGCGATGGGCCCCAACCTGAAGGGATGACAGGAACCATGATGCTTAGTAGGAGCAGTAGGTGCAACAGCTATTTCTGGGGGCAGCAAGGCCCGGATGAAGGAAGGCGAACCTTGGAAAACGCAATCCTCACAAATGTGACTCACTAGAGGGCGCTGGAGGACCGCGCATGTACCTCTACTGCTCTGCAAAAACACTTAACGCTCAGTAAGATGCCGTGCTGTACATCCAGTGACAAATATGGCAGAGCAGCTCAGGCAGGTAAAACGTCAAATTGTCTCCCAGGGTGCTGCAGTGGAGCGCACTGATTCGTACCCATCTGTCTTCTATCATGTCCGCCAACAGATCTGACAATTATCTTAATGCCCATATGCTTAATTGTGGGCTTCTCAATTCCCCCATTGCTATCGGAAATCCTACAGGAATTTCAATTTGGCATTCGACTTTCATTTCAGGGGATAAGATTCTCAGGCCTGCCATTTTTTTTCCCATAATGCCAGCTAAGCCTCTGACAGTGGAAGCTACAGCAGTGTGGGACACAGCCCCTGCTCGGTACAAATATAATAAAATGTCACCTGGCTTTCTAAAACTGGCAGCCCATTCCAAATTAATGTTTACTGTATTTCATCAGCTGCTGAGTTCCAAATCCAAAGGGGGACCGTTTCTGCCAATGCCACCACACCGGAAAATGTACCAATAAAGGTTTTATTAAACACACCAGTAATGCCATCATTGCCACACAAGGATGTTTGGACATTCTTCCATTTTTTTCACTACTCTCACCATAGAGAGATACCATATTGTAAATACTCTTTATGGTTCCAAGAATAAAATTATAGAGTACAGCATAATTATTTGATTCGAAAAAAAAATACTGCTGAGCTTTTTTATTAACTATTACTACCTACGCTGGTCCAAAGATGTTGAACTTGTGGCACTGAGACAGCATCTGCTGATTTTATACCTTATGCCTTAAAGCAAAATTATTAAGCATTTGTAAACCAAGAGAAATATAAGTAGCTCATATGCCTTTGTATTTCCAAGTAGTTATTTTCTTAGCCTGTTGTGAAGTGACCAGTTGTGCTGGACAATGGGTTTAACACTGAAGAACATCCATCTGTGAATTTACACTGCTATGAATGAAGGTACACTTCTAATCCAAAGCTGTACAGCCACAAAGTGCAATCTTGATTCTCTTACTACCAGAAGGATGTAGTTATACAAGTCTTTCCAAACAATGCAGTGACAAGAATTGAATCAACAACAATCAGATTCACAGGATCGAAGCTATTTAAAGACAGCCAAGTATTAAGTATCACTTTTAGTGCATATGTACTCCTAAACAATACAAAAGAGGGGCTGGGGATTTAGCTCAGCGGCAAAAGCGCCTGCCTGGCAAGCGCAAGGTCGTGAGTTCGGTTCCCGGTACCGGAGAAAAACCAAAAAAAAAAAAGAAACAATACAAAAGAAATTAATTCTAGGCAAGAGCAGGGTCAGAAAGCAGTTTATCTAAATGATGAAAGCAGTTTATCTAAATGATACTACCTGTTCCGATTAAAAATCCAGCAAGAATCATAAATGACTTAAAAGCCTATTACCACTGGGACTTTTTCGCTGAGAGATCTGGGAAGCTAGGTGCTATCTGCACCCAGGGCTTGTGTCACAAAGTGGAACTTTCTGAGGATGGTTACACAGCCTCTATGTGACTGCTTCAAATGTCCTGAGATATTGGTTACCTCCTATTCTATCTCGGACCACAAACTGGCTTCTTGGTAGATTCCAGTCAATGGCCTTTGCTTCAGCTCTGGAGCTTTGTGGGGTTAAGTACAAGCCCTTCCCCCCATCAAGGGGCCACACCAGAACCTTTCCTCTGTAACTCAGGTCCGCTCTCATGACATCTCACGCTCACTTTGCTCCTTAACCATGTCTGGTTCACGATTGTGATAGCTATTTTTCATTAAGACTTTGGTTTGCTGTTTTTATAGCTGTGCATTTAAGAGACTGATTCAAAGGATTTCTCTTTTAACCTAAGGTCTCAAATTATAAGGATGAATTTTAGTCTTTGATCAAATAGTAGCTCTTTATGCCTGCCATTCAATGTGCTACCAAATAACTAACTGCCTTAGTACCAGTTCGTATTTATTGATATCCTCAGTGGATTTACCTTCTTGAATTCCTATAAAGGGTGATCTTTAAGTTATACTCACAGATTTGATCTTAATGGAAATGTATGTGTCTTCTACATCAGAATTATTCTGAATGTTCTCAAGCTTTCTTTATAGTCATCTGCACTGTAATTTAGGGTTGGTTATTTATTTTTCATTTAAAATGTATTCAGTTATTGATCCCAAAACTTTCCTTCCTTTCGATAGCATTTAGACAAGTTCTCAAAAGAGGAAAAGAGAACCCACAACAATTATCTCTTTATTTTTCTGCCTCGATACGAAAATCAGTGTAATGGATAGTGAAAGGCAACTATATCTAGGTTCTCATTGTGGCTGGTTTCTTAGCTGTATGATTATAAGTTGTTCAAATACAAAATGAAGAAAATAACACTAAGATTACAGAGAATAAATCCCAGGGTTATGATAAAGAACATCAATAGTATATGAAAAACAACTAGTATGTAACAGTTACACAAATGTTACACATAGTAGTGGTTTTTCTAAAAAAAAATTAATTAAGTGTATTGGCACATTTTAGGTATACATAATGATCACATTCATTGTAGGGAATTTATACCTGTACACAACACACACAGATAGAAGCAAGTAGTGTATTTTAACTGAAAGTACTTGTATATTAAATAAAACCAATAGCTCATGAAATTAAAGACTCTTGAAATTCAAGCTATCTTCACTTATGGGCATCTTTGTGCTCCTAGTAACTGTGTTGATCAGATCTGTTCGATTTTAAATCTTTTATGTGAACAAAGATAATAAAATCTTGAAAATATATTTGAGAATACATTTTTCCTAACTATATTTTTGTTTGGATTTTAGGCATATATGTTACCTAACTTGGTCTATTTTCTGCAGATCATCTTAAATCATCTCAAACAGTATCAGTAACTTTTCCATACAGGAAGATGAAGACAAAGTTGTCTTTGCTGTTTTAAGGTCTCCCTTTTGACCGTGGATATTTTGGATCACATGAATGAGCTCTATAGGTCCAGGTTCACATGGTACCGAGCTTAATTCTCTAGGATCAACTCCATCGCCCGTGGCGGTGGCAGAGTGCTCTATTTGAGAAGACAGCTTCGTTTTGCTGATCTCCTTGGCTGCAGATAGCGCGTTCTAACCCTAGATATTTCTGTTTTACAGTGTTTCTGTTCCTACACAAGTCAAGAAAGACTATGAGTAATCTGTGCGACACCATCACTTGAATAACTCCAAAAGAGACACAGGAACCTGAAGTGTGGTGTGTACATACAAGGGCTATTGATTCTGTTCACTTTTCATATAACAAATATATAATATAAGAAGGAAAAACCAGATTTATTCAACATACAAATCAGTTGTTAAGGATGATGTTTGGTGTGAATTTTTAGAACATTCATATTTCAGTAAAGGTCTATTTTGATAAACTTTTCATTTATATAACAGAGTTAAAGCCAGCTTTAAGTCTTGTGATAGGACATACACAGTGTAATAGTTTTAGATAATTATGCTAAAAGCAAAAGAGATCAATAAATTTTAAAATAATTATTAATTGATTGATTAGAAAGTATATTTATACATCAACAAACATTTTCTATTCTAGTCCACGCCTGTCGGTTTTTCGATGTGCCAAAGACAGAGCGATGAATAACTCAGATGTGGACCCTGTCCTCAGGGAGCTTATAACGATTCTTTGTGGCATTTTTGTGTACTCATCAATTTAGTGTGATACTCTTCGTAGCAAGGAACAGAGACCTCTTTGGGCTTACTTAAGTAAAAAGGAATTCCTCATACAGGTTTTGGTAACCTGCACTTTGCACCCAGAGATCTCTGAAGCCTTAAGGCCACCCGAGCCCCTGATGGGCCACTCAGCCTTCTCTCCCCTCCAGGTTACCACTGCTTCTCCATGGCTTCGCCCCTCCTCTCTCAGCCTGGCCTCTTTCTTCCTTCACAGTCTCTCCTGGCATATTCTTTCAGGATCTACACTTGCCACTAACTCCCCCTCTTGGTTTTAGTATTTCTATGTTCTGAATGACAGGATCATCTGATGCCCAGCTCATCAGTTTGAAGCAGACATCCTTGGTCCTAGGAATAAACCACTCCAGGATCAGGTAATTTTGGGATCCAATGAGCTGCAGCCCCATCATGGCTACCTCAGCCGGCTCCTTCTGGAGACTTGGTAAATCATGGCTGAGAAATGTCTGTGTAAATATCTAAGCTACATTTATCAAGTTATAGTCAAATGTTGACACAGCTATTTAAATTTACTCATGTGAATTTACCTGAGAATTATTAAATACCTTTAGATATGTATTATTTCTTTTGAATCATGTAAATACCATATAATTTTACATGATCAAACTTTCCAAGAAAAGAATATCTTAAAAGCATTTTAAAATAACAGAACAGAGACTTAAAGGGTTTGAAGGGACTTGGAAATTGGGTCAAGCTCTCTATTTTACAGAGAAGGAAGGTAGGGCTGACAATGGTGGAGTAACTTAGTCAACATCTAGATATAGAACTAAACAGAACTCATAAAACTTGTAACATATATATAACCATCATTCATATATATACATATATGATTGAAAGAAGCAGAATTAAGTGCAAAAAAAAAGAACTTCTTGGAGCTTTTGTTTTAAAACTGTGTACATGTATGCACACACATATACCTCTATACAAACCTATTACATGCATATATACATACGAACATATAGATATAAAAATCATTTTACTTTTATCATAGGAAAAATCATAGTTCACCAACTCAGTCCAAGGCCAAGATATCTAACTAAATTATAAAATTTAATATCTGCCACCACTCTTCCAACATAAACAGATTTAAAAGACATGCAGTTT